ACAGTACATCAGGAAGATCAGACCGATACAGTACATCAGGAAGATCAGACGGATACAGTACATGAGCAGGGTGTGGAGAGCGATGATGAAAGGGCGGTACAAACGAACACTGTGGAAAGCTACGAGGCGCCTCACGCCGACGGATTTGAGCTTGGGAAGGAGGATGGGGATGAAAATACGGTACAAACAGACGATGTGGATGAAAGTACAGTACAAACGGCCGCTGCGGACAGCTACGAAACCTCTAACGGCGATGTTCGCGAAAATGTAGAGAAGGGTGTGGAGGAAGGTACGGATCAGGTACGGATCAGGGACACAGACGATGCTACTGGAGATAATGTTGGAGTTGTTAGTGGAAACAGTTTTGTTGAATGTGGAGTGAGCAACCAGGATAACGATACAACCAGCGAGGAACCGGTGGAGGTCCCCATGGGCGTTGATGAACAAATAGGAACGCCGGAAGAGCAACTGGGGAGCATATCTGAGCAAGTGAAGAGTACAGAGGAGCATTCAGAAGAGCAAGTGGAGCAGAATGATAGTGTACATGACCAACCTGGTGGCATGGTGGAGCACGCAGAAAGCTTGGGTGGGCAGACGGAGGACACACAGGAGTTCGCAGAGGGCACGGATGAGCACACACAGAGCAATGAAGGTATACACGAGCATACAGAGAGCATGGACGAACACACACGCAGCTTGCAAACGCACACAGACGACATGAACGAGCACAAGGGGAGTATGACAGAGCACTCAGAGCGTATGGAGGAGCACACGGGGTGTATGGAAGAGCATACTGAAGAAATGGAAGAACGGAGGGCCGACAATGCCGACCAACGCGATGGTGAGACCCTGTGTGTTGTTTCATACTTGTCCTAGATTCGGCTTGCCTCTTGCATCACTTGACAGTCCCTTGTCGCTTATAGATGTGTCAGATGTGCTGAACTATTTGGTGGTGGGATCATGGATGGTGTGAAGGTGGTGGTCGGTTTGTTGACTTGTGATATCTACAGAATGGTAGCTAACCTTTGACAGATTGAGATATCGCCGTTACTACTGTGCTAGGGTGTGGTTGCTTCTTCTCATATTTGCCATAGCTCAGTGGTGTTGTTTCGTATCTTATTGGCCGTTGAACTTGTCTTTATCCTGACTTTCAGTGTGACACGCATACTCTTCGAGGCCTATGTATCATGCTCATAACCCCATCTGTCCATTCCCGTCGACAGATCACTCTTCAGCGCATTACGCGGAGCTGCGTAAGGAGATGGACGAGATCAACGAGGATGTGCGAAGTGTGCAACAGAACATCACCGACACAGCCGTGGGTGTGGTGTTATCCGCTGCACGCGTAGACCAAGCAGCTGACCTTGTGGACGCGACGGCTGAAGTGGTCGCTGAGACCAGCGGCCACGTGGACACACTCGCCGATGAGGTACACGACGACGCAGAGGCCGTCCAGGACAGTGTGTGGGGTGTACGCGAGGAAGCGGAGCACGTGCACGAGGACGCGGAGAACGTGCATGCCGAAGCTCGGGATGTGGCGAGGCTGGCCCTGGACGTATCCCGAAAGGCAGGGGTCGCCGAAGAGTGTGCGCATTCGGTAGAGGGCTCGATGGTTTCCATGGAGGAGGCTGTGCAGCAGGTGGAAGAAACGGCCCAGAGTGTGGACGATACAGCGACAGAGATGCGAGGCCTGGCCGAGAGTGTGGAGGTGCGTGCAGAGGGGGTGGAGCTGCAGGCAGATCATATGACGGTCATGTGCGAGAGCATGCAGCACTCGGTGCAGAGGTGTGAGGAGGCCGCTCAGTGTGCCGAGGAGACGGCGTCGGTGGCGGATGAGACGGTGCGTGTCATCACAGACAATGCGCAGGGTCAGCCGGGACGGTCAGACAGTGCTGTGTTTGGCGAGGGTGAGCTCACCAGCGACAGTGGAAGCGCGGCCGAATGGGTGGAGAATGCCACAGATAATGGGGTGGATGGGGCGAGAGATGCGGTTCAGGAGTCTCGGGTGGGTGCTTTGCCTGATGATGTGGAGGTGAACGGCGGTGGTGGGTTGGTGCTGGCAGACGAGGAGTGTCCTGTCGATACGGCTCTGGCTGAGGGGAAAGCTGTGGATCTAGGTGGGGAACCCAATCCGGATGCGTGTGTTGGGGCTGGCCCCAGTACCGAAGATGTAGATAAGGGTACTGATACGGACAATGAGGATACAATCCCTGGTGATGGAGTGGGATGGGCCGCATCATCGACCGATACGAATGCGCCTGAGGTGTCTGGGGACGTTGTTGCCGAAGAGACGGACACACAGACAGGCCATGAACCCAGCAATACAAGTGCAAGTGCCAGTGAGAGCAGCGACGCAGCCAACGAAACCAGCGACATACAGAGAGCTGTCGAGCGTGTGGTAAGTGGAGCTGTAGCGGACGCTCTGCTTGAAGTGAGCATTCGCAACGGTGGTGAGGGGGAGGCGTATGCAACAGAGGGGTGTGGTGACATGGGTGATATGCCGGCGGCCGTGCACAGTGTACTGGGCGTGGGTAAGATGGTGGATACGGAGTTGGACGTCACACTGAATGCGCACGTGCATATGCACCCGCATGCAGATAAGGACAAGGCTCAGGATGACTCTGGCGACGCGGAGACAGCAACAGGCTCTGAAGACGCGTTGGAGACTATCCAGGATTCACAGGCCGTACAAGACACACAAGACACACATGCGACCGTTGACAGTGAGCTGGGTGTGGGTGAGGTGGTAGACACGGAGTTAGACGTAACCTTAAACGAGAACGTGCATATACATGTACATTCAGTCGACGCCCACAGCGACACGGAGCACGCGGACATAGAAACACGCCCGCACGAGACGTTGGAGAAAGCTCAGGAGGCTATAGCTCAAGAGGCTATGGCTGTGGCCACAGAGAGTGAGTTCGCAATGGAGATGGGGGCGAGCGACGGGTTGAACATGGTGGACGACGCAACGCAGGCAGTCGTCGGCGCGACGGAGGAGGTGGTGGGCAGTCCGGATGTTATCGATGTGAGCGATGGGCCGGATGTTGCTGGGGGTGATATCGGTGAGGAAAGTTCGGTACATAAACAGGAGGAGGGGCTGAGTCAGGTCGGAGGGGATACGGATAGTATCGGTGTTTCAGAGGCTACGGATAACATTGGTGCTTCAGAGGCTACGGATAACATTGGTGTTTCAGAGGCTACGGATAACATTGGTGTTTCAGAGGCTACGGATAACATTGATGTTTTAGAGGCTACGGATAGTATTGATGTTGGAGAGGCTATGGATAGTATTGATGTCGCAGGCGATGGTGACGCTGGCGATGCTAGTAGCCATGGAGGGGACGAGAACACCCCAGGCGTGAGTGGAGGTGGCGGGCCATGTGATCCTCATGACGGTGCGGGTGATTCTGGCTCTGGTGAGGCCGGCAGTAGTGATCAGAGTCCTAGGGTCGGGAGTATAGGTGCTTCAGACAATGCAGAGGACGGTGGCGGTTCTATTGATGGAATTGACGTGGATGAACCAGCGTCTGGTCATACTGAGTCGGAGAGTGGGGATGCAGGCCTGGAGGGGGTTACAGGTGAGAATGCCACAGATTTTGTAGAGGGTAAGGGCGAAGGAAATGAGTTTGCTGATAATGGTGGTATTGAAGTAGCTAGCCTCCTGCTCGAAGCTAGTAGTGAAGTGGGTGACACAGACGACAACACTAGTCAACCGGAGGAGACAGAGGCCAATGGCTCACCGGTGGTTGCTGCAGGTGTTGCTGAGTCTGATGGTTGTGAAGTGGGTGACACAGACGACAAC